GACCCAAACCATTCCAGGATTCCATGATCCCTTCAACTTGCAGCTGCTGTTAATCCCTCCCTGTCCCCCCAGTGGCTCTGGAGCAGATCCCACACCTTTCCCAGCTCTCTGCTCTCTGCCCCTCCATGACCCACGAGCACTGGGGGGAGCAGAGGGGCCTGAGGACAAGGGGTGAAACTGGTGCCCATCCCAACTTGGAGTGCCCAAGGAGGAGGTGCCCGGGGGTGCCACAGCCATTCCCTCCCTCTGTGCAAACCCTTCCTGCCCCCAGAGGTGCCCCAAGAGCAGGGCAGGTCCTGGCTCCTCCTGCCTCTGTCCTGGAGCTGGGATGGAGCCTCTGCATCCCCCCAGAGCCCGAATCAATCTCCCAAATGGGGCAGGAATTAAAGTGCCAAGCCAAGGAGCTGACTCAGCACAGAGGAAGAGGTGAAGGTAAAAAGTTCAAATAAAGAAATAATGGCCCATTAGATGACCTCACTGGCAATGTGTTTTATTTAACGTGCTGCTGATGGCAGGGGGTGCTCGGGAGGCTGTAAAAGTCACGCCTGACTCCTGTTCTCTGCCACCTCCCCGGGCCTTTGGGGCACTGGGTGCTCTGGCATCAACCTCCAGGTGCCATCCCATCCCCTGGGGGTGGCTGCTCCCTCTCCCCCGCCGTGTCCCCCCTTTGCAGGTCACCTGCTGCCATGCAGGGGTGATGGCAGGGGGTGACACCCCGAGGTGACACCTGGGAGCCCCCGGGGTGCCCAGAGCACTTTGCTTTGTTGTTGTTTTGGAGCCTGGAGGGTGACAGGGACCCTCCGAGGCTCCTCTGGGCTCAGGGTGGAGGCAGGTGGGGTTTTTAGGATTATGAGAGCCCTGATCCCAGGGGAGCAGCCCAGACATGTGGAGGGACAGATGGACACAAGGCCTACAGGGCTTGGAGCAACCTGGGCTAGTGGGAGGTGTCCCTGCCCATGGCAGAGGGTGGCACTGGATGAAGTTTAAGGTCCTTCCCAACCCAAACCAGGCTGGGATTCAGGGACCAGTGCCCCAGATGTGTGCTCAGGATCTGCCTCAGAGCTCTGTGACCCTTGTTTTTCCCTGGGAGGTCCTGTCTCCCAGGGGCACTGCCAGAGCTGCCACCAGAACCCCAGTGAGGGGCTTTCCTGCTCTCTGAAACCTTTGCCCCCTTTGTGTGCCTTTGTGCTCCAGGGCTTGGGGTGGGCTCTGCCTTGTCCTGCAGCACCTTCCCCCAGCAAGGGGCATCCCAGGGGTGTCTGTGTGTCAGTCCCTGCCACTGAACCTCCTGGCACAGCTCAGAGGTGACCGTGGCCATTGACCCTCTCTCTAAAAACCTTTTTATCCCGGTTTGTCTGGACCCTCTGGGAGGGTGAGGGCTGAGGGCTGAGGCAGGGGATGAAGGGATGAGTGTCCAACACGTGTCAGGGTCCTGTGTGCAGGCAGCAAAGCTCCTCATGTGGTGATGTTGGCGTGGTGAGGCCCATCTGCCACTGCCAGTGGGGACAGGGATTCTCCTGGGTGGCAACGGGGGAT